TCACCTCATAGTTCTAGCCGACCTGTGACAATGAGACTGTCACAGGTCGGCTCAGTAGATTGGGAGGTGAGCGAACACATACCGGCGTCCGCTCACTTCTCGATCCTGTCACGGCAGAGAGCCGTGACAGTGGAGGGGCTGGATTCCCCTCTCCCCGCTCCGGGGAGCTGTAGCTTACTTAGGGTGACGGGAGCTTAGGGTGACGGGAGGACGCTAGTTTGTGTCCTCCCGTTACCCTAAGGAGAACTATGGGGAAAAGCTCTGACCCCATAGTTCTCATTTAAGGTTATAGGGTTAGAGTTTTGTTAACCACTCCCCCACAGATGTCACAGGGACAGTAAGTGAAGGAACTCTGTCACCTCAAGTAGGGACATTTAGATGATTGGGGAAGGATTAGAACCTTTGTCTATGTGAACTAACCCTAACCTTGGACTTAGAGTTAGAAGGTTAGGGTTAGAGGGTGAGGGGGTTAGCATTAGCAGATTAGGGTTAGAATGGGTTAGGGTTCTTTGACAACCACTCCACCACGGATGTAACAGGAAGTGAGGGAACACCGTCCCCCCAATCGGGGATATTGTATCTTCCCACTAATTGCAAAAGAAAATGTGTCTGGGGATGGTTTTAGGTGTATGTGAAGGACAAACATCTCCTCCTGATCTCCTCCGTTGGTGGGAATGCCATACTGGTGTACACAATGCATGAAAATGTTTCTGTGTGGCAGTAATGCAAGTCAGCCCACCCACAACCCCCCCCCCCCCCCCAGGGGGCAGGTCCATGACCACCAGGGGGCGGGACCAAGACCCACAGGCATATACGAAGCAACACTGAATGCCGTTTAACCCTGAAGGAGACTGACCAGCAAAATTGGAGGATGATGCGAAGGGTAGGTGTGGAGCGTGAAGACTGTAAGTATTGCTTACCCGAGACAGCTTTTAAAACTCGCCAATCAATACCCGGAGCTTCTAAAAGTTAAAAGGAGAATTATGGGGTCAGGGCTTTTCCCCATAGTTCTCCTTAGGGTAACGGGAGGACACAAACTAGCGTCCTCCCGTCACCCTAGGCTCCGTATACCGCGAGCTACAGCCGAGTCGCCGCAGCTGAAGCGGATCCCGACAATTATGCCGGGATCCGAAGTTCTCCTTTTAATCCTCTATATTTCTCTATCCAGCTCTAACCCTCAAACCCTAAAACTGAAACCCTAGTTCCCATTGACAGAAATTCTAACCCTTCCCCACTCTCCTAAAAATTTGTTTTTTTTAAATTTTTCTCCCAATGGAAGAGATTTCCTCTCACTTCCTGTCCTGACAGGAAATAAGGGTAGCCTTGCCCAATAGGGATACAGACCGCAATACAAATCTGTTTGTTTCTCTTCCTCTCAGGCTCTTCGTGGTGAGAGGGAAACCAGCAGAGGTCTTCCCTGCGCTTTTCAAGAAGTGGAAGGTGACCCGGCTGACCTTCGAGGTGGACACCGAGCCGTACGCCAAGCAGCGGGATGCGGAAATAGAGAGGCTGGCGGCTGAACACAACGTGGAGGTCATACAGAGGGTCTCAAACACCCTCTATGATGTAGAAAGGTGAGTTCCTTATACATTGACTGTGAACTTCTGAGGGTTCCCCCTAGTGGCATGTGTCTGGTTACTGCAAGTTTATTCTGCCTTCCCTGGCTCCGCCTCCCACCTTTTTTAAATGTAAACTTTTCATTTTAATGACATACCTTATTGTAGACCCGGTGATGTCATCACTAGGTCCCTATGCTTCTCTATGCATTGCCCTCACACCTACACTTGTGCAGATTTCGATTCTCTACAGTCTGCGCTCTTGTAGCGGGATGCATGTTCCCCTTGACGGGTGTCATCCATGGGTCTCTTCTCCTTGCACATGTATTTTCCTATGTACTGCGTGTAACACGTGTGCTGCATGCGCAGGGTCATCGCCGAGAACAACGGGAAGCCCCCGCTGACTTATGTCCGCCTGCAGACTGTGCTGCAATCCATCGGACCCCCAAAGCGGCCCTGCAAAGCACCAACCAAGGACGACATGAAAGGTCAGGATTTCAGATTATGGGTCGGGGAAGTTTTATCCCAATGAAGCACTTTGGGGGGAATTTTATCAATAGTGGAGCAGACAGAATCTGGAGCAGTTGACAATGGCAACCAATCAGCATCTCTCTTCAGTTTGCTCAGGTAAGATTTGAATATGAGAGAGAGAAGCTGATTGGTTGCCGTGCAAATCTGCTCCAGTTTTGATAAATTCCCCCTTTTATATTATTATTGTTTCTTTTACTGTAACTCAATATGAACATGAAAACGACGCGCAGGACACGCCTCCCTCCTGGGTGTCTGCAATTTCCCCCCTGGTATTAATCCTTTGCCCATGTATGCCATGGCAGCTGAATCCTCGGGTCCTCCTTATTGTCTGAATGCTGTTAAACCCCATTCATGACCCCGGCCCATTACAGGCTAGGCGCCCAGTACCCATCAGGTAACATGACTAGAACTCTATTGGTCATTTGCATACCTAAAGGATGTTTTAAAGGAGAACTATGGGGGGTCAGTGTCTTTCCCCATAGTTCTCCTAAGGGTCATGGGATGACACAAACTAGCGTCCTCCCGTCACCCTACAGCTCGCGGTATACTGAGACCGCCGCAGCCGGGACGGATCCCGACATTACTGCCGAGATCCACCCAGCTGCGTGATTGACAGCCGGCTCTGCCTATCTAGAGGCAGAGACAGCTGTACCCGCCCCCTCCCCCGTCCGTTCCGCCAGTCAGCGCTGGAGGATCAGAGCGGGGAGTAATCCCTGCGGGGAGCCGTGAGTGACAGTCACGGCTCTCTGCAGGGACATGATCGAGAAGTGAGCGAGCACTGGTATGTGTTCCCTCACTTCCCGGTCTATTGAGCCGACGCGTGACAGTTTCATTGTCACACGTCGGCTCAAACTATGAGGTTTTTTTTTAACTTTTACTGTCTGTATTGCAGTGTAACAGTCGCAGCCTGATCGCTTCAGCTGTCACTTCGTCTCGCTCACAGGCACGGTGGCAGCTGAGCCAGCAGGTTTGTTTTCAAAGGTTAAACTGCGCTGTATTCCATAGAACTGCACAGAAGGCAGTGTCACTGACTGCGCTGGTCTCACATTATGGATCGGGAACCCGTTGGCTTCTTCGTCTCGCTCACAAGGCGCTGTGACAGCTGAGCCAGCAGGTTTGTTTTGTAAACAAAGCCATGTGATCAGCGTTGTTGACTGCCGCTGGAGTCACATGGCTTTGTTTACAAAACAAACCTCCTGGCTCAGCTGTCACCGTGCCTTG